TACAATAATAATTAAAAAAAAAAAACATTCATTACATTATTATTGGGCATTGTCGTAATCAAACTTAAACTTAGCCAGCTGTTCTTCGACTTCCGCCGCCTCCGGACAGTCTGGAACAATCTGCTGCAAGGTCGATGTAATGCCCAAAAGACGGTCCACCCACTAAAAAAATGGAAGAATGAAAACATAAGACTAAAATTTATTAAAAAAAAATTATTGTAATGAATTAACATTAATTAAAATTTAGTAACCAACTTACATAGGCGGTGTTGACACGCGTTGGGACCTCGTCCTCGTCCGGCAGCTCCTCGCCCATGAGAGTCGGATGGGAAACCCGACTGTACCACTGCAGGTAATCCTCAGTCGCCTCCCCGCGATCCTGTGTGGTCTGGGTCAACATACTTGTGTTCACCGTCCCAGACATCGGGAACTGGGTCCAGAGGGATACTGCACCAGCCTCAGAATGCTCAACCTTGTAGTTCCTAGACTCCCAAGCACGTACTGCACTGATTGGCGGGAATATAGGGGGAGGGACAGTCTGGACATACCCCAGCTGACGCAGACACCGCGCAGGCAAGTACGGCTCGACGACATCGCGGTATCGAATCCATCCGCTATAAAGAGTCCTCGGCTCTATCGCATCTGGGCTGGAGCTGCCGTATGGCAACCATTGCACCTGTTCACAATTGCATAAGAGAATTTATAAAAATAATTATGTTATTTTAAATAACGGGTAACTAAATTTAAATAAAATAAATTCACGTACATCGGAGGCAGTGAGTCTGTCGAGGCGCCGACGGATGGCTGTGAGCCGATCGTCTGACCGTGGCGCATTCCCTACGCCCCACGAGCGTGATCGTGCGAGACAGTCAGGACCGATGGGTAGACGCCCTCGGGGTCGGAAATCGGGGAAATACTCATATATCCAAGACTGTAGAAGAGTCAAGCAGCCCGACATCTGGGCAGAGTCCCCTCGGCTGGCAATACCTAGCTGTCTGTACAAGTATGCCAGCGTAGCCGATCCCCATGAGTAACCCTCAATCAAATCCAAGCCGTCGAGCACCTCGTGCAGGAGCTTGGGGGTCACTCTACTACCACTCTTGTCGACGAACAATGTGGTAGCCAGCATCACCCACAGCCAGGCACCCGCCTCATCCCTAGCCGGCCGGTCTTTCCCCCTGAATGCCCCCGAAATGGCGGCTTCGGACACCGAACCACGCTGCCAGAACGAACTCATGAGTTCGCCCTTGGTGACCGAAAGTATCGACATGCAGAGCCCATGGCAGGCCTCCGAATCCGGGTCCTCAGCGACCACGACTCCCTCCACTGGAACGCCCAAAATGGCCCGGACGTCGTGCAGCATGATGCTCATCTCACCAAAAGGCATGTGAAACGAGTTAGTATCCGGCTGCCATCGCTCCACAAAAGCAGAAAGGAGTGGGGTGTCCAAGTGGGTGTGCATGGAGTCGACCAAATGTGACAGCCCGGTCTGGTCGAGAAGAGCTGTAGCATCGGGAGACATCTCTTCACGCCAAGCCTTCAGATTATCGATCGCTCGCACTCTGTTGTGGCATTTCAGTAGCCCCCTCAAATTCCCATTCCACATGCGGGAGGCGACGTGCCCAAGAAAGCTAGGGATGACACTCCCATCAATGGGCCCACCGGGCACTGGGCCTCTAACGATCCAAGGTGCATCATCATCGGTCCTAGCTCGTATGCTAGTACCTGCATTAAAATACAACATATCTGTATATATTGACTTGCTGGCAGATGCATTAAATAAAATATATTTAATAAAACATATTTTATTAGTTACGTTACATTTTACATTTTACGTTTTACGTTTATTATAAGCATATATAATTTTTTATTATTAATATTATTTTTTGAATTTATAATTAATTACAATTTATTCAACTTACCCTAAATTACAAAATAATTATACTGTAGTTGACGAGCAGGCCGATAATACTTTTCTAACAGTACCAATAATTTATGTTAAACAACAATAAATAAGTAAATTATTTACCTGATGAGGATGCAGAAGGGCCAAAACGCCCCCCAGCCTGCCGTTGAGGAGCAGGCTGTGTGGGACGAACAACATGTACCGGACGAACATGCTGTACAACCGGCTGTACCGGACGAACTGGCTGTACAGTAGGACGAGGGTGGATAGGACCCGTAGGCTGTGCGTGGTCCTGATCATCTAAAGAGTCGTCCGAGTCATAGTCCTCTGGACCCGGCTCCCTCTCGCCGTACGACTCATCATCAGCATACCCCTGCTGACCATAAGGTAATGGTACGCGTGCGCGGGGTGGTAACGACTTCCCTGCGAACCGGGGAAAAGAACATCCCGGCTGATCGTACGGTACTGGTGCCGGGGGCATCGTCCTGCCCGCCTGGCCAGGATAATAAAATCCATGTTCGCCGTACGGGATGGCTCCGTGGGGTCGCGAACTACCTGGCTGGCCCTCAAAATGATATGGACCAGTGGGCACTGGTGCGGGGGGGCGGGAACTCTGGCTCGCCTGACGAAGCTGTACCCTACGAGCCTCATCGATCAACGCCTGCCTTTCCGCGTCCCTCTCCCGACGAACGGACGCATTGACACCCCGACTTCTAGTGTGTCGGGTGCTAGAACCATCATAATAATCATCGTACGCCTCGTCGTCGTCCCTGGCATTAGATTGTCCAGGTCTGCCAACACCCTGAATCAGAAATATAATTATTAGATTTTTCCAATGTAATGATTATTCTAATAACTGTTAAAATAGATTATAATTCATTTTTCTTTTCATATATAAATTTTATTAATTATTATTATAATTATAATTGTTTTCTTTTCATATAATTATAATTTTTTAGTTCAATTATTATAATTAACTTTAATTTATAATCATTATTATATTTAATTGTAATTATCATTACAAATTATAATTATTATTTCTTATAATAGTATTATTATAAGCATATATAATTTATAATTATTAATATTATTTTTCAAATTTATAATTAATTATAATTATTATAATTATTTATT